AAATTCCTCAGGTCCCATGATGATAACTTTTTTCTATAGAAAAAAATTCCTCAGGTCCCTTGAGGATGACTTTTTTCTATAGAAAAAAACTTCCTCAGGTCCCCTGAGGATGACTTTTTTTCTATAGAAAAAAACTTGCTCAGGTCCCCTGAGGATGACTTTTTTTCTATAGAAAAAAACTTGCTCAGGTCCCCTGAGGATGACTTTTTTTCTATAGAAAAAAACTTGCTCAGGTCCCCTGAGGATGACTTTTTTTCTATAGAAAAAAACTTGCTCAGGTCCCCTGAGGATGACTTTTTTTCTATAGAAAAAAACTTGCTCAGGTCCCCTCAGGATGACTTTTTTTCTATAGAAAAAAACTTGCTCAGGTCCCCTCAGGATGACTTTTTTTCTATAGAAAAAAAAACGTGCTCAGGTCCCCTGAGGATGACTTTTTTTCTATAGAAAAAAACTTCCTCAGGTCCTCTGAGGATGACTTTTTTCTATAGAAAAAAACTTCCTCAGGTCCTCTGAGGATGACTTTTTTCTATAGAAAAAAATTGCTCAGCAACCCTGAGGATGACTTTTTTCTATAGAAAAAAAATCCTCAGCAACCCTGAGGAAGACTTTTTCTGTAGAAAAAATCCTCAAGAACCCTGAGGATGGCTTTTTCTATAGAAAAAAATGTCCTCAGGACCCCTGAGGATGGCTTTTTTTCTATAGAGAAAACTTCCTCAGGACCCCTTTTTCCATAGAAAAAATTCCTCAGGTCCCCTGAGGATGACTTTTTTCTATAGAAAAAAATTCCTCAGGTCCCCTGAGGATGACTTTTTTCCATAGAAAAAAATTCCTCAGGTCCCCTGAGGATGACTTTTTTCCATAGAAAAAAATTCCTCAGGTCCCCTGAGGATGACTTTTTTCTATAGAAAAAAATTCCTCAGGTCCCCTGAGGATGACTTTTTTCTATAGAAAAAAATTCCTCAGGTCCCCTGAGGATGACTTTTTTCTATAGAAAAAAATTCCTCAGGTCCCCTGAGGATGACTTTTTTCTATAGAAAAAAATTCCTCAGGTCCCCTGAGGATGACTTTTTTCTATAGAAAAAAAATTCCTCAGGACCCCTGAGGATGACTTTTTTCTATAGAAAAAAATTACTCAGGTCCCCTGAGGATGACTTTTTTCTATAGAAAAAAATTCTTCAGGTCCCCTGAGGATGACTTTTTTCTATAGAAAAAAATTCATCAGGTCCCCTGAGGACTATTTTTTTCTATAGAAAAAAATTCATCAGGTCCCCTGAGGACTATTTTTTTCTATAGAAAAAAATTCATCAGGTCCCCTGAGGACTATTTTTTTCTATAGAAAAAAATTCATCAGGTCCCCTGAGGATGACTTTTTTCTATAGAAAAAAATTCATCAGGTCCCCTGAGGATGACTTTTTTCTATAGAAAAAAATTCATCAGGTCCCCTGAGGATGACTTTTTTCTATAGAAAAAAATTCCTCAGGACCCCTGAGGATGACTTTTTTCCTATAGAAAAAAATTCCTCAGGACCCCTGAGGATGACTTTTTTCCTATAGAAAAAAATTCCTCAGGACCCCTGAGGATGACTTTTTTCCTATAGAAAAAAATTCCTCAGGTCCCCTGAGGATGACTTTTTTCTATAGAAAAAAATTCCTCAGGTCCCCTGAGGATGACTTTTTTCTATAGAAAAAAATTCCTCAGGTCCCCTGAGGATGACTTTTTTCTATAGAAAAAAATTCCTCAGGTCCCCTGAGGATGACTTTTTTCTATAGAAAAAAATTCCTCAGGTCCCCTGAGGATGACTTTTTTCTAAAAAAAAAACATGCTCAGGACCCCTGAGGATGACTTTTTTCTATAGAAAAAACTTGCTCAGGACCCCTGAGGATGACTTTTTTCTATAAAAAAAAATGTTCTCAGGACCCCTGAGGATGTCTTTTTTTCTATAGAAAAAATGTCCTCAGGACCCCTGAGGATGACTTTTTTTTATAGAAAAAAACTTCCTCAGGACCCCTGAGGATGACTTTTTTCTATAAAAAAAGTCCCCTGAGGATGACCTTTTTTCCATAGAAAAAAACTTCCTCAGGACCCCTGAGGATAATGTTTTTTCTATAAAAAAAATCCTCAGGACCCCTGAGAATGATTTTTTTCCTATAGAAAAAAATCCTCAGGTCCCCTTAGGATGATTTTTTTTTCTATAGAAAACATTCCTCAGGTCCCTTGAGAGTTTTTTTTATAGAAAAAACTTCCTCAGGACCCCTGAGGATGACTTTTTTTCTATAGAAAAAACTTCCTCAGGACTCCTGAAGATGATTTTTTTTCTATAGAAAAAACTTGTTCAGGTCCCCTGAGGATGACTTTTTTTATAGAAAAAATTAATGTATTCTTAAACCCATTAAAGCCATTAAGTACCTGTCGAAAAAAACTAAAAAAAGCAAAATCATGTTTGGCGCAAAAACCAATAACCATTAAAAGTTCCGACAGCAAAAACTACTAAATGTTACGCCTAAAAGAATTCTTTATTTATTTTGTTTTTGTATAACTAAAATTGACTTAATGTATCAGCCAACCTCAAACCCAATTTGGCACAACGAAGAGATGTGAGATGCGAGGTCGGCATCATTTATATATATCTACACCCTGGGACCAATTCCGAGCCTTGTTTTCATTTCATTTTCAAGGCAACAAATCTGGCAGCAAGAAAATTAATGGATATGTCATTTAAATGTTACTATGGCCATTAAATAGACCACAAAAAACAAAACAGAGAACAGCCTAAAAGTTGCTTTAAAAAAACAAAAAATAGCAACAGAATAGCGACCCTGAATATCAGCTTAGCAGTCATAGTCAGTCAGTTAGGGAGGCAGGCAACCTAATCAATTATTTTTTGTTCCTGTTGTTGCCCATAACTCACAGTGGGTATGGATGGAAATCCTTTGTGAAGGCCTCGTGTAGAACATATCGATATTTTACAATATTTTATCTTGTTTTTCCATTCGGAATATTATTTTTGTAAAACAAAACAAAAAATCCTTAAAACGGTAGAAGAAAAATCTCAGCATCATCAGATTGAAGTAAAAAAATAACAGGCAAAACAAATGATTGGCGGCCATACTGCCACCACTACCCAGACCACCAACCACCTCGAACGCCTACACAATGGCAGCAACGGCAAACATCGAACCGAGAGAGAGACGCCTAAAAATATGTTGCCAGTTGCAATTCCGCAAAACATTAACATTGAAATGGATATTTTTTGTTGTTGCTATTTCTCTTCTTCTTCTTTTTTCCTGTGTGGCACATTCTCCGCAGCAACACCAACATTAGAAAAATACGAAAAAATCGATATTAAAAACCAGCCCTGGTTGTGTGAATGTTGGGCGGCGGGTAGGTCTTTACAAGGCCTTTGATTTTTTTGCAAACAAAAGATATGCGGGTCTACACAAGGACAAATGGATTTTTTTGCTGTTGCTTGCTGTTTGGTTGCATCATACAGAAAAAACAGAAACAGAACACACACCCACCACTAGTCAATCTGTCATTTACCGGGGTAAAGGAGAGGTTGAGAGGGGTAGAGATGTAGGAGGACAAAGAAATTGAACATGAAAACTGCATGAAAGAGCGAAAGAAAGGAAGTTTGAACAGAGTGGTTCAAAAGTGGAGAGAAAAAATTCCTCAGGACCGCAGAGGATTACTTTTCTCTACAGAAAAAATTTCACAGGACCCCTGAGGATTACTTTTTTCTATAGAAAATATTCCCGGGAACCCTGAGAATTACATAGTTTCTATAGAAAAAATTCCTCAGGACCCCTGAGGATTACTTTTTTCCTATAGAAAAAATTCCTCAGGACCCCTTAGGAGTACTTTTTTCTATAGAAAAAATCCTCAGAACCACTGAGAATTATTTTTTTCTGTAGAAAAAAAATTCTCAGGACCCCTGAGGATGACTTTTTCTTCTAAATAAAAAAATTCCTCAGGACCCCTGAGAATTATTTTTGTCTATAGAAAAAAATTCCTCAGGATCCCTGAGGATGACTTTTTTTCTATAGAAAAAAATTCCTCAGGACCCCTGAGGATGACTTTTTTTCTATAGAAAAAACTTCCTCAGGACCCCTGAGGATAACTTTTTTTCTATAGAAAAAACTTCCTCAGGACCCCTGAGGATTACTTTTTGCTATAGAAAAAAAATTCCTCAGGGCCCCTGAGGATTACTTTTTTCTATAGGAAAAAAAACCTTAGCATCCCCGAGGATTACTTTTTTCTATAGAAAAAAAATCCTCAGCATCCCCGAGGATTACTTTTTTCTATAGAAAAAAATTCCTCAGGCCCCCTGAGGATGACTTTTTTCTATAGAAAAACAATTCCTCAGGACCCCTGGGGATGACTTTTTTTCTATAGAAAAAAAATTCCTCAGGACTCCTGAGGATTACTTTTTTCTATAGAAAATAATTCCTCAGGTCCCCTGAGGATTACTTTTTTCTGTAGAAAAAAATCCGCAGGTCCCCTGAGGATAACTTTTTTTATAGAAAAAATCTTCTTCAGGACTCCTGAGGATTAATTTTTTCTACAGGAGAAAATAATTCTCAAGGGTCCTGAGGATTTTTTTTTCTACAGAAAAAAATAATTCTCAGGGGTCCTGAGGATTTTTTCTATAGCCTTAAAAAATATTTTTAAAATATCCACGCATTCGAAAATTCCTAAACAAAATATTTTTTAAAAAATCCAAGTCTCCGAAAATTCTTAAAGATAATCGGTACTTTATTTTCCACTGTCCAAAAAGTGTTGCACAAAAAAGAGCCTGCAGAAAAAAAACAACTACCAGCTTGACTTTTTATTTGCTTGTGAGCTGCTAAAAATAGATTTCAGATGCTTTGCCACGCACACGAAATTGCAATGCCACCCAACATCGCACCACTCATCTCTTCTATACCCTGAAATCCTATTATTTGATTTGCGCTATTTTTGTGCATAAACCCCATCGTGTTGTCGTTGTTGTTGGTACTTACCTTGTCCGATGGTATGGTACGCGATTTCTGCGTAATCACGGTCGGAGTTACAATACTGGCACTGCATCCACCACCACCACCGCCATTGCCACTGCTGACGCCAACCCCACCACCACCACAACCCACCAGCCCAGGCACATTACCTTGGCCGCCACCGCTGCCATTCACAACAACACCTGCTGCGGCCGATACGGAATTAGAACTGGCCGACGAACAGCATGACGAAGAGGACGAAGAGCAGACCGAGACATCAGTGGTGTGACGTTTGATGCTGCATGGGGTGCACGAGGAGCTATTCTGAGAATTTATTGAGGTGGCGGCAGTGCAAGGAGCTGACATTGACGTAGATGGCCTTGCAAATTGCAAATGTTGTTGGTTATGATGATGCTGATGCTGCTGATGGGCATGTTGATGCGATGAGTGTTGCTGATGATGATGTTGATGTTGCGAATACGAATTTACCGAAGACGAGGAGGCTGACGAGGAATTATGATGATGATGGTTCTGATGATGATGTGGTTGTTGTTGCTGCTGCTGACTCATATAGGAAGAAGAATTATTGCTTCCCGTATTTGCATAGTGGGGCTGATGATGCACTGCCACTGCAGCAGCCGTGGATGCCGACACCGATGGCGACGACGAAGTTGAGGAAGATGGTGTCAACAGCGAATGGGTCGATTGATTTTTATTCTGTTGATGATAACGCTGCTGCTGCTGATCCTGCTGCTGTTGCTGTTGATTGTTGTTGCTGTACACTGGCATCGAGGATCCAGAACCCGTCGATGACGAGGTGGAATGCGAACGTTTATTTGTGTTCGTCGGATTTTGATTTGTGCTGGTAGTGGTTGTAGTTGTTGTTGTCTGCGTATACGGATTGTGGTGGGGACCAGCGCCAGCGCTGACCACTATGGCTGTGGTGGTGTGCTGATGATGGTGGTGATGTTGCTGACGACTTGGATGATGGTGTTGCAGCGGCTGATGTTGCAGTGGACCCGTTGGTGATGTCGGTGTATCAATCGATGATGTTGTCGACATTATGTCGCGTTAAACTGGAAACTTGCAAAAACACTCCCGCTTTAATTCGATTTTTTTTAATTTGAACACTTTTTTTGTTATCACTTTAAAATAATTATTTTTTTATTATTTTTTTTTAATCGATTTATTTTTTTTTTCAATTTAATTTAAAATTGAAAATAAAATTTCACACATATCCTGCAAAGAGAAAGAGAGGAGAACATAAAAATTAATATCATTTTATTGTAAAGAAAATTAAATTTTCTTTGATAAATATTTGCGGTGTTGTAATTTGGCTCAATAACATTGTGGATTCCAATAAGAAACTCAGGTGTTTACATTGTAACACATAATCCACAGATGATGTTTTCTCCCTCTCTCACACTCTCTCAATCACAATTCATATACTCAGAAATGTACAAAACAAACGTCATTGGGAAAACCATCCACAAGTGATGTCAATTTAGCGTTTTTATACCCTTCACCACACTGTGGTACAGGCTATTCTGTCTTTGTGCATATGTTTGTAACAGGCAAAAATAATCGAGATAGACCCGTGGTTCCTTTTGAGAATATGCAAAAAACCACTTTCTGAGTCGATTTATGCATGACCGTCCGTCCGTCCGTCTGTCCATGTTAAATTATAAATAAAGTACAGGTCGCATTTATGATCCGAATTGGATGAAATTTGGCAAAGCTCATTTATTTGTCCCAAGGACGAACCCTATTAAAATTGGTAAAAAAACGGTTCAGATTTAGATATAGCTCCCATACATAGTTTCGCCCGATTTAAGATAAATGGTGTACCAAAGTCCCTACATATCTTTCGATTTGCACGAAATTTGGCATAGCTTACTGAATTAAGTCTAGAACGATGTGTGCAAAGTTTGGTGAAAATCGGTTCAGATTTAGATATAGCTCCCATATATAGTTTCCCACGATTTTATGTAAATTGTCCACTAAAGTCCCTATATATCTTTCGATTTGCACGACATTTAGCACAGCGCAATGAATTAGGTCTACAATGATGTGTGTTAAGTTTCCTGAAAATCGGTTCAGATTTAAACATAGCTCCCAAATATAGTTTTGCCCGATTCTAGGTAAATAGTCCACTAAAGGCATAGCGTACTGAATTAAGTCTAGAATGATGTGTGCAAAGTTTCGTGAAAATCAGTTCAGATTTAGATATAGCTCACATATATAGTTTCGCCCGATTTTAGGTAAATAGTCCACTAAAGTCCCTATTTATGTTTCGATTTGCACGAAATTTGGCACATCGTAAAGAATAAGGTCTAGAATGATGTGTGTTATGTTTCGTGAAAATCGGTTCAGATTTAGATATAGCTCACTTCGTCCGATTTAAGATAAATGGTGTACCAAAGTCCCTACATATCTTTCGATTTGCACGAAATTTGGCATAGCTTACTGAATTAAGTCTAGAACGATGTGTGCAGAGTTTCGTGAAAATCGGTTCAGATTTAGATATAGCTCCCATATATATATTTTCGTCCGATTTTATATAATTGAGGCGTCGGGTTAGTTGCCCACACTCGGAAAACCCCTCCTACTATGAAAAAGCAAAGAAAAAGAAAACCAAACCCCCCTAATGTTGACGACCCTCGCAAACGTATAAAGGACCACGATCTGCGAATCTGCACTTGGAATGTGCGCACGTTGTACAGAACAGGCGCAATGTTCGCTTTGGCGGATGTACTCAAGAAATAAAAATAGACGATATTATTGCCTTACAGGAAATGCGATGGAAAGGGACTGGCGTAAGAAAATCAGATGATTACGCTCTGTATTATAGCTACCATGAAACGAGACATGAATTTAGCTGCGGATTTATGGTTAACAGGAGAATAAAAGACCTCGTTTCCGCATTCACTCCAGTAGATGTGGGAGTTGCTATAATCCGCATAAAAGCGAAGTTCTTCTACATCAGTCTCATTTGCGCCCACGCTCCGACCGAAGATAAAGATGAACAGACCAAAGACATATTTTACGAGCGCCTAGAAACAGCATATGACCGTTGCCCTGGTCAAAAATCGGAAGGGAAAATATCTTTGGCCCCACCGTCGGAAAATTCAGACTTCATGAAGAAACATCCGACAACGGCAATGAGGTTGATTGACTTCGCACATGTTACTCGCCTACATCGACATAATGGGTCGAACATTGAGAGCGGTAACAGCCACCTTTGAACAAATTGAGAAGGATGCTACCAAAGTAGGTCTGGCAGTAAACGGCGAGAAGACCACGGCTAATGGTATCAACGCGCAAGACGTCCAGTAGACTCGGACCAACTGTGTAACTTGAGAACTACAGCTTCGAGGTAGTTAAACATTTTATATACATTGGTATTGCTAAAAATAAAACGAATGACATCAGTTTTGAAATTCGGAGAAGGATTGTGATGGCCAACAGATGCTACTATGGTTTAAGTAAGCAGTTAAGAAACAATGCATATCTCCCGTCAGACCAAACTCACATACTACAAGACGCTGATACTACCTGTGCTGTTATATGGATCTGAAGCATGAATTCTTGCGCTAGCAGATGAGGCAGCTCTTGTGGTGTTTGAAAGAAAAATTCTCCGAAAGATCTATGGGCCGATCTGAGTTGACGTTGAATATCGCCTTCGAATGAATCATGAGTTGTATCAGCTATTCTCGGGCATCGAAATTGTTAGACATATTAAGCTGCAGCGACTACGTTGGCTAGGTCATGTTGTGAAAATGGATGAAGATGCCCCAGCCCAGAAGGCATATAAAAGCGAACCAGCTGATGGTTCCCGTAGAAGGCGAAGGCCACGAATCAGATGGAAAGACCAAGTAGAAAACAACATCTTGGAACATGGTCTTTCAAATTGGAGGAGAAGCGAACAAGATCGACGTGCTTGGAAATCTTTTTTAAGCTCTGCTTATGGAACAACCGTTCTGTAACAGCCAGCTAAACAAAACAAAAAATAACGCCTTTGGAACTTTTATTTTTAAAAAATCCACAAAATCCATAATCCTCGAAAAATATTTTTATTATTAAAAAAAATCCACGCCTGTAAATGGTATGCAACTGCATATTGTGCAACCTTAGGAAGAAAGGAGGTGGCTTTTAAGGCGCCGGACATTATTTTTACATGAATGATACCTCGCCCTAAAAAGGCATAAAAACGAAGCTCAAAAAGCGCATTTGGAACTTTTATTTTTATTTTCAAAAAATCCACGCCTGTAAAATATCTTCAAAAACACTTTTAAAAACTCCAAAGTTGGCAACACTTTTCATTCAACCTCCACTATTCAATGTGACAAAACACACAAATGAAATCCACACACACAAAATTGTTATGCTCCCTTACTCAATCTCCCTTCATAGCATCAACAGTCATGCTCTCTCTCTCCGTAACTCCATCACTCTCCCTCTCTCTGGTACTCAGACAATTATCACAAACGAATTGCTTTATCCCCTTCACCGAACACACATTTACATGAGGGAAAACAACAAAAACAAACCAACACTTCTCCCTGAAATTGTTGTCATGTGCCGTTCGTTATATCAGATGTTATTGTTGTAATATAGACAGAATTATTTCTGCACAAAAACAAAAGAAATGCTTTGCAGCAATTTTCTTAAATATTTTTGGGTAAATTGTGCCCATTTTTTCTATTGTGTCTCTATTAAAGGATTTGCAAAAGAAAACATATACACACGCTCTGTAATACATATTATGATGCGTAGCATATATATTTTTTTTGCAATAGGTAGGAAGGTGGTGATATGGGGGATGTTTCTGACATGTGAAAAAAAATTCCAAACACAAAAGAAATTTGACTGCAATCAGTGGTGTCGTAGAGCCTGTAAAACACAGCCAGTGTTTGGGTGGAAAAAATTAACAGTTGGTTTATTGCACTTGGTCGGGCTATTAAACGTCATTTGCAAAACATCAAACGGTCATTCAGTCAACCAAACAACCATCCATCAAGACCCACCCCAGTATTTAATTTGTTTGATATTTGTGGCGATTATTTTCTTACACTTACACTCAAAATAAAAAAATGGACAAAGTGAAAAAATATTTTTGTGAAGTTAGATTTTATAAAAATATTTTTTCAAGAAGTTGCAACAGGTGGGGATTTTATAACGCGACCGCTACATTTCACACCACCTTATTATATACCCCTCGTTAATATAATACAAGGATACCTATATTTAAGCACCTCACTTCGCAATCATATTAACTAGATAATAGACTTCAATGAACAGTCATGAAACTATTGTCGAGATATAGGAAAGTAATTCTCATTCACTTTGTGTTGTCGTACAGATAAGTGTTCCAGTTTTCATAGGCAGAAATTGTCGAGTGCTGGAGTTAGACCAAGTAAGCAGCCGCAGTCGTAGTACTAGGTATACGTAGTCGAGCGCAAAAGTCGACCTTTCGATTTTTGCCTCTGACCAAAAAGACGATTTTTAGACTTTTCGATTTTTGCCTTTGACTAAAAAGTCGACTTTTCGATTTTGTCAAAACTGTTCAAAATCGATTTTCGACTTTTGCAAAATCGACTAAAAATTTGATTTTTTATGATAATATAAAGTTCCGGAAAGTGAATTTTTTGAATTTTTTGATGAAAATTGAAAGTCGACTTTACGATAAAAAATCGACTTCGACTTTTATGACTTTTCAATATAAAAAGACGGTTAATCGATTAGTCGAAGGTCGATTTACTTATCCCTACGCAGTACCTTGTACCGAACATAGCCTTCCGCGACTCGTTCGCTTCCTGCGATTCGTTCGATTACGCCATTCGTTCGCTTCCTGCGATTCGTTCGCTTCCCGGATCGTTCGCGATTCGATCGCTTCCTGCGATTCATTCGCTTCCGCGATTCGTACGCTTCCAGCGATTCGTTCGCTACCGCGATTCGTTCGCTACCGCGATTCGTTCGCTTCCACGATTCGTTCGCTTCCTGCTATTCATTCGCTTCCGCGATTCGTTCGCTACCGCGATTCGTTAGCTTCCACGATTCGT